GTGTGATGTAAATTAAATGCTAAATGGCGGTTCATGCAGGGAAAGAACATATCAATATTCGTATATTCATTCAAAAACATGAAAATTCTTAATGGAGTACCCTCATTTCTTATTGAATTCCTAAAAAACAATATTTATAATGAATTTTAATAATTTTTTCGGATTTTTTTTAAGCTTTATTATGACCGATTCACCCGATTCCCGATCCGAATCGCAGATTCGCCGATCCGAATCAGTTTTTTGGAAGCCCGATCCGAGTCACCGATCCGTTTTTTAAACCATTGGTTGTCAGAGACAATTAGGATTTCAAACCTAAAACAATATATATTTTAATAAATTATCTAGACCGTCTACTTTTCCTAAAATTAAGTATTTAAAGATCGGTACGATTTTTTGAGAGTTGTCACTTAAAGTGATTTAGAACCATGAGAGTTGTCGCTGAAAGTGCTTTTCAAAGATTTAAGATGAGGCTTTATTTGGTTTTCATAGAAACTTCATTTTTGTATTTTACCTAATTTTTTTTTGTGTGTACCTAACGGGGCTCCATATGGTCATCGTCTTTTTATGAATTTATTTCCTGAATTTTCATATCATGGGAAAATGCATGAGGCAGGAGCAAACTCCCCAAAAAACAGAGCTGAAAAATCAATTGCTAGTGAGAGGGGGGAGGGTGATTTATGCGGATAACTCATTTTAGAGAGAGAAAGTCTGACAGTCCGAACTCATTTTAGAGAGAAAAAGTCTCAAGTTCGGATAACTCATTTTTGAGAGGGGGAGTCCCAAGTTCTGTGGAGCGTAGCTTTCGAGTTACAATGTGGAGGAGAGAGAAATAGGCAGAGAGAGAGAAGGGCATGGCGCTTCTTCGCCTTTTGCCATCACTTCTCTCCACCTTATCTCATCATCCTCCTCCTCCTCCCTTCTTCGTTTCTCCATCTCCACCCACCTTTCGCCTCACTTCACTTTCTCTCTCTTCTGCTTCTTCAATTCCTTCCCTTTCTCTCTCTTCTCCCTCTCTTCCATGTCTCTCATCCCATGAACCCCAAGATGACGCATTTCTCGGCCAATTCCAATTACATGAAAACGAAGATGACACACTCTCTCCTCTGCAACCTCAACAACAAGTAAAAGGTCGTCTAGAGACTTTAAGGGGAAGCCATGGTCATGGGGCCTTGCTCCAATTGAGTATTAAAGAGAAGAAGGAGCTTGCTTCTTATGCACATTCACTCGGAAAGAAGCTCAAATCTCAACAGGTATGCTCTGTCTCTGTTCTTACTTTCCGCATAAGCTCTGAGTGTCTTTTCGTACTCCATTTCATCACATTTTCTCTCTCCAAAACTTTGATTTTTGCAGGTTGGGAAATCTGGGGTGACACCTGCAGTGGCAGCCTCGTTCATAGAGACACTAGAGGCCAATGAGGTCTTGAAGGTATGGACACCAATTCTGTTACAGTCCTCATTATCGTGAAAGGGGGAGAAACCCAAATTTATTGACAATATTAGTAGTGGAGAAATAGTTGGAATGGTACTTTATTTACATGATGTTGCATATATAATGTTTGCTAGAAAGTCCTGTACACTTCAGTTATTCTGTTGATTGATGGTCATTCATGGTAACTATTTTAAAAAAGAAAAAAGAAACAAGAAAAAAAATCCTGTACACTTCAGTTATTCTGTTGATGGGCATTCATGGTAACTATTTTTTACTTTTGGGTTATTCATTCCATTAGAATATCAGATAATACTTTAGAAATTAAATGCTACAAATTCCTCTGTAGTATCAGGAACCTAAACAATTATGGATTCCCTGCAGTTTTTGGTATAGTTTTTAACAAATTCTTCCAAATATTGATGCTTTTTTAATATCTCAACAGCCCCTGAAATCTAAAAGAAGCTGAAGCCTCGGCAGTAGTTTCTCAATTTTGCTTTCTTTTTTTTTTAATTAATTGTTAGTCCCACTTTTGATTTTGATAAAACTATTCGCTTTGGAAAATATTAGTCCTAACTTGGTAAAGAAGAGTCACCCAAGTCAGATTCTACCCTACCTAGCTTAACTCATTGAAGGCAAACCCCAACCACATGAATGCCATCTTTGTTGACTGGGCTCCAATTCCTTTAGACCTTTTCTGAACCATCGTTAAGGTGATTTACCAAGTCGTCGTATGTGGGCTTGTGGCTTCTTCCCTTTTCTGTGGAGCTATGTGGTATGTGCTGCGCTCTCGCCCTCCGAATCTGGATGGGCGCACACGTCTCGGGTTTTGAGAGAAGACCCGAGACGTTTCTGAGATCGCTCTCTCGGGAACCTTGTTCGAGAACGAGGGCAGGTGCTACCAATCGGTGAGAGAGAAATTTTAAAGGTGGGTTCGGGACTTACTCGGGCTGGCTCGCGTGATTGCCCTCTTAAATCACGAAAAAACCCCCCCAGTAATGAAACTGGTTTGGAATCGCCTCCCTTGGCTCATATTCTTCTTATTTTTTACAATTACACACATATATGACAAAGGTTGTAAGACGGGTGGGTCAGACCTCAACCTTTTCCTCTTTGATGAACGTACACAAGCAGACACATTCAAAAAGAAGAAGAGAAGAAAGACGGGAGAGAGAAGAGTTTGACTGAGCGAGAGGATCAAGCTGGCTAGTATTTGGCTTGATGTGGTAGCAAAACGGGTCGATACTAAGACCTGCTCACGGGATCACTACTAGACGTCATTACCAATACCGACTAGCTAAGCACGATGGTCAGTCTATTGTGGCAATAAAACGGGCCAAGCAATCCTGACACAACTACATTACGGCTAGACGACAAGACTTCCATGAGATGCTAACCTCCATCCCTCTTAGTCGAACGAAAGAATAGCAGAGCAGTCGGAACTGGACATTGCCGACTGTTTCAGAAGAGAAGAGAGAGAAAAGGCAGTCGGCACTAGACTTCGCCGACTGTCAGAAGAGAAGAGAGGAAGAGAACCAACCGGCGCTAGGCTTGCGCCGGTTGTGACGGGAGAGAAGCAAGGGAGAGAGATCGAGCCGGTGCTAGGCTTTGCTAAATGTGACAAGAGAGGAAAGAGAAATCCAACTGACGCTAGGGTTCGCCGACTGTTAGGGAAGAGAGGAGAGAGAAATCCAACTGGAGTTAAGGTTTCCCGACTGTTAGGGAAGAGAGGAGAGAGAAATCCAACCGGTGTTGAGGTTCGCCAACTGTTAGGGAAGAGAGGAGAGAGAAATCCAACCAGTGCTAGGGTTCAGCGACTGTTAGGGAAGAGAAGAAAGAGAAATCCAACCGACACTGGGATTTGCCGATTGTTAGAGAAGAGAGGAGAGGGAAACTCCACCCGGCGCTAGCGACGAAAGTAGAAGAAGAGAGGGAAAACCGCACCCAATATTGGGGATAACAGAGAGGAGAGAGAAAGGAAAACCAATCGGCACTGGGCATGCGTCAGTTGTAATGAGGGTGAGAGAGAGAGATGAGAAGAGGGGAGGAGAGAGAAAGTTACCTGCCCAAAGGGTATTGGCCCTTTTCTTCTCTCTCCTCTCTCTCTATCCAATACATACTCACAGGCTCAAGCAAGAATGGAAATTTCTATTGAATGATCAAAGAATGAACCGAGGGTTTTTTTACAGTGAGGCAGTGCCTGTTTATATAGAATTGGGCCCAAACATGGGTGGACGCTTGAAAGTAACCCTAATTGAAGGTAATTACGATTTAATTGAATTTAAAGAAATTATAAAAATGGTTGCAAAAAGACTATTTTGCCCCTGCCTAACAATGTGTGGACTTCCAGAACAGTCCTTGCTGCTGCCCGAGATCTTGCGTGATCTTCTATGGCTAACCCGGGGGTGTTTTGATGCCCGTTTGATCGAAAGATTATTGTTTTCTTGTAGTGCTCGGCATGGCAATCGTTTTGATACTAATTTCGAACCATGAATCATGTTTTTGAGCCATGATTACGAGACTTGAATCTTGGATGAATCTTGAAAACTTCGGATCGATTGTGTGCTCGTTCCTTGATGTTTCTTCGTGACTTCTTCATTGAATCACACTGAGCATGCCTTCACAATCGCGTTGCAACAAACGTAACTCGATTTCGTGTACGGATGAAGATTTTGTCGTCTTTAAGTTTTTGGTCGAAATCTTGAAATCCGGTGGCCGAAATTTACAGCAGCTTTGACGTCTTCGTGTGTGAAATCCAGCCGTTCATCATATGTGAGATTCGGACCAGAGATAGCCTCTGACCTCACGCACATAATGCAATTGGTTTCATGCCGATTGGGTATGGGAGCGTCGTGATCCGGCTGCTCGAACAAGGCGCGCTGCTGCTGAATTTTTTGCAACTTCCTTCATGGATCAATGGCTTTCATTTAGTTTTTTCCCTGCTCGGGTGTCATCACGGGGCGTACCGCATATCGAATTACTCGTCTCGATGAGACGAATACGCTCACCAAATTTGGGAGCGATCCTACTAGGAACGAGTGAGTTATAGGCCCTGAAAAGTGATTGTCCGTGACTGTAAAAATAGCCACCTTTAATGGTGTTTTGATGGAGTGAGGCCACACGGGAATAGTGTGCGGCTTACCCCTTTTCAATATTTTACCCATAACTTTGTCTTGGAGTGCCTGATTAAGCCGAAACTTGACCTATAGGGGTTTTCGACCGTGCTCGATCTAATGGTGGTGGTCCTACAGCTGTTTGATGCACCAAAAGTATGACTCTGGTTACAAAGTCCATTTCAGGATGCTAGAGACCGATTTCGTTGAAATTGTTTCTTCGTGTTCACTGCCTTAGACATGTCTAATCGCGATGAAACTTGGCAGGTGGTCTTTTGAAGTGCTAATAAAGATCTTGACCAATTCTGGGGCTATTTTGAGACTGTCAGGAATTTCCACTGTTTTATAGGCTTTATTGACCTGCTTCCTACCAGGGACCAAGGTGCTGAAAAATACGTTCAAGCACTATGTTATAAAGACGTGGTTACATGTGTCTGTGTTTGACATAGATAAATGCCCCTCCGAAATTGACATGACATGCTCATATACCGTTTATGTAAAGGGGGGAGGTGGGGTCTTAGGTGATGGATTCGCATGGCGACATTTTAACAAGAAAGGTTAATGAGAAGTATTTGAGTTTCTAAAGTGCCATACATGGGTGCCATGTCCATTGTGTGTCGAAACATGCCAAAACACACACATATATATATATATATATATATATATTTATTTATTTATACTATGAAGGGTATCCTTGAGTTCTGTATTAGTAGACCCATGTTGTTCCCTCACGTGTTTAGAATGGCTTATGGCAGGACAGACTGGCTCACTAGAGTAGGAGTGTAGAGAGAGTCACTCATCTGTGGGGATCGAACCAATTGTGTTTTGAATTTATTTTAGGGTGTGCCTCTGCATCTTTATGTGCCTTGTCTGCAATTTGATGTATAATTTAGTGGAACATTCTCTCTGGGTAAGGTAAACTTCCAAAATAAAGTTAAATATCAAGTTTATGGTACAGTAAAGCTTCGAGAGAGGCATGTTGTTATTTGACACCTCATTTTTGGGATGGGGTCACAGTGGCATTCTCAAAATTTGAACTCCTGTTGCGACTTTGAACCTTCACAAAATCAAGTCAAGTTGTAGCACACAAGGTTTTCAAATTTTTGGTTTTTGTTCCAAAAACAGAAAATTCTCCAAACAAGCAAAATTCATGTAAAATTCATATTCATTTAATTGTTGCAGAGATGCAAAAATTAATTGTGAGTAGATATACAAAGACAAGTTGGGTTTCCAAAAAAAAAAAAAGGAAATAAAAAACTTAGATACAAGGAAGAGCAGTTTAAGGGGATCATCATATGTATAGGATGCTGCAGACCTCATGAGGCCTTTATGTTTAATTGCAGGCTCATATCTCTTTGCTATATCAGGATGCTCCTAAAGGCAACCATCCTTTGCTCATAAGTAGGGGTTTATACATGAAGCAATTAACTAGCATACTCATACAATAGGAAACTATTTGTAGAATATAAGAGGGACGGTCTTCCTTATCATACTAATGAAAGGGACTAGGCAGGCTATGACAATATATCACATGATTTAAAAGAAATTTGACAATAGGATGCAGCCTAAGTTAAGGTAGTGGTTGTTGGAGTTGCATGAAACTTTGATGTGAATGAACTATGCATGATATTTTCTAGCTGAAATAGCAGGCAATAATGCATAAATTCTGAGGGGGATTTTAGGAAAGCTCATGGATATGACACTAGAAAGGAGTCAATAAACTTACTTCAGGGACCCTTGGTTTAAAAAAAAAAAAAACTCAGCTTAGTCAAAATAAGCCAAATGTCTTTTTCTGAAGAAAAATTAAATAAATAGAGGCTTAGAAAGTGTCTTACCCAATAGTTGAATCTAAAGAAGAATGGCCCTCTTCTCTCAATTAAGATTTTG